TGAAGTCAGATCTGAGCAATAACGCAGATTTCCAGCTCCTTTGAAACAGTGCTAAGCCGCTCTGCTTCCAGCACAGGCACTTCCAAGGAGGCAGCGCAGCCTCCGAGAGCTGAGCTCCCGCACAGCTGCCTCTTTAGGTGCCACGGCTGCGCCTCACCTTAGAGCTTATATTGGTGGGGCCCCCAACACTCGAGCTGCTGCTCAGGAACAAGCAATGGCACTTGACCAGAGTGGCCTACGGGCTCACAGGCACTGCGGGAGAGGAACAGGAACCAGCAGCCGCTTTGCTAGGCGGGTGCACTTGTGACAAGCGACCCAGCCACCCACCACATGCTGGGAAAGGCCAAAGTGGCTCCAGGGGAGCAAACACGTCCCAGGCTCCGGTGTGCACCAAGACATCCGTTTTTCCAGACATATGGAGCAGGTGCCCTCCATTCACATGGGATTTGCAGAACCTCTAGACCCGCTCGTCCTCAAGCAGGGTCTCTAGGTGCAACCCCCATAAAACGGGCACAGATTTTGAGGAATCCCTTTCGAGCAGCCCTGGCGCACCGGCTGTGCTGCCCATTGGAGAGAGCTCTGGGCAATTTGTCTTCTAAACAAATGAGTGATTAGCAAGGATCCCCTCTCCTTGCGCGGCTGGCTGCCTGCCCTGCAGCCTCCGCATGGCTGTGCGCCTCTGTAATCCAATTAAAGCTCACCAGGAGAAGAGCTTCACGCTATCGCATTCAATTAGGCACTTAAGTCTCTTATCATCCGCGCCGCGGCATCCGCTCGGGCGTGCGAGGTGCCGCTTGTCAGCTGAGCACGGGCACACACCGATGTCTTGTTTGGGGCCGCACGATCACGTGGGGTAGGAAATTACAGCCTCACAGGTCGCTAAAAAACACAGGAAAAAGAAGATCAAGTGACCAGTTCCTGTCTGCTCAGTGCAACGTGCTGAGCTGCTCCCACTCTTCCTTCTGCTCCCTGACTTCCCATGGAAAGGGAGCAGGTTTGGAGGAACACGGGAGGCCAGAGGAACTTCCCTCTCTTCAGCAAGGCAACAGAAAGACGAGGCCTCACGAAGGGCCTGGCAATTAAGAGCCACCTGGCAGCTGGCCACCAATTCCATAGGAAATACCCTCCCTAGAAGGTCACCACAACGGTGGCAAAATTTGGCCCCAAAGAATGAGAAGGAGCTGCCAAGCCGTGACGCACACGAAGCTCGCGAGCAGGCCAGCTTCCTGCGCACGGCCAGGGCACCGAGCGCCCTCGGAAAAGGAAAGATTAAGAGTTGCAGGGGAACATAAGGGCCTCTTGTAAGGGCCGCGTTGCCGCTTTGCTTCTTTTGGCAGAGAAGAGGGATGTTTTGTTGCCGTTTGATTAATCCGTTATGCAAATCATTTCATAAGCTAATTGGCTACAGCCGCAGGCTTGACACAGAAATCACGGGCGCACGCAGAGCCCGTGAGGGATGGAGAGTGTCAACAGCTCCACTCCAGAGAGCTCTCCTTTCCTGGAGAGCAGCAGGGCCACTCAGGAGCGCAGGGACAGTGTCCCCATGGCCCAGGAATGGGGCTGCCAAGACCCCCCCTCAGCCCTCCAAGCCCTGCGCCCCACACCCACAGGAGCTGTTCTGGCCGCTGCCCTTCACCCTCTCTCATCTCCAACGCTCAGTCCTGGATATTTTCCTCATTCACCCAAAAGGTTTAAGCTAGTTTTACGCAGTAATTTTTAAAGCCTACGCTCTGTGCTTCGTTTGTATTCCCGTTCCCATCAGTGGCAAAACACTCGGCATTACACACTCCTCCAAGTCAAAACAAAGCCTTCGAGCAAGCGCGTGCGGGACGCACGTAGTCATCTGAGTAATTAGACATTTCCCTCGTTCCAAATGTACCAAAAAACTACAGCCCGTTCCAGATGAACACGTCAGCAGTTATCCCAGCAAACAAGAGTTCTGCCTGCTAAATGTCAGCATACCAGTGAATCAGAAGATTAAGATGCACTGAAATCAACATCCCTTCCTACCTGAATTAATCAGTGATTTTAATTACTCGTTCAGGTAGCATCACCTGATCGTATTTATTCCTGCAGCCATCTGCACACCTTCCTGTGATGCCACAGCCCACTCTCACCCTGCTTGAGCCAGGCCAGGGTGCTGCCGAGCTCGAATGCAGCTCCACACGATGCAGGAGGTCAGTGCTGTTGATGGAGGAGTTTGGTGCTTCAGTGAGAGCAGCCCAAGACAGCAGGCACAGGGAGAGGAGCAGGTCGCCAGGGGCTCTAGCAGCCACTAGGACCAGCTCAGCCTCTGCCCATGTGTCCCCAGGGCCCTGGGGACATTGGCAGCAGGGCTGGTGCATGTGCCTCGTCAGGGGGAGCCACCCCAAGCCTGCAGAGCAGGCGCATCCCTGTGGGAAGAACCTCCTGCCCAAGGCCAGGGATGCACTGGGATTCTCTTATCCAGGAAACAGCCTCCGTTTTCCAGTTGGTATTGCCCGGCCACGGTTCTGCCCCACTACATACAGCTTCACAGTTCAAGGTTTAAGAGGGCTGATTTCAACTACAGGACAAGTAAGGCTGCAAGCAGAGCAAAATCCATCCCAAATGGGAGCACCTGTTTCAGCAGGCCCCCTTTGAACAACATTTTATTCCTAGACCCTTCTTACCAGGAGGAGTCTCTCTGCAGTTCCCACTGCTACCTTCATGTGGGGCTCCCTGCAAGATAGGACAGGAGCGTGTCCTGACATCGCCTCTACAACAGGGCTGGGAGGAGAGAGGGAAAAAACACCGCACTGGAATAACTCCTGTTCTGCACTGTGAAGAAACCGAGGAGAAAGGTTTAATCCCCTTACAATCAGCCTACAAGGACACGAGTGTTGGTTTTCAGAGGTGTGTGTCCTTGCACAGAGGAAGGCATTTCAGTGCATGAAAGCAAGAAAACGGCAAGAAAGAGGCAGGCATCTCTCCCCTGCGGCATGTGGCAGCTACACCCAGATAGTAAGAGTTTGACTCACATTTCTGGGATGACTAAAGGACCTGCATTTCAGAAGCAGCGAGGGAGCCATGCCCGTGGCTCCCAGGCACCGGGAAAGCCACCGGCCCCGCTGAGGGCCGTCACCACGAGGGTGACACTGCCCGAAACCCCAGCACGTGGTTGCTGGATCCAGGTGGGTCACTGCCACCCTGCAAAACCTCCCACGGCAGCTGCTTGGCAGGTCATGCTTTTGTTTTTAGGCTGCCACCAGCAAACACGTGTGGAAGATGCACGAGATGGTTTCTTCAATGGGTAGAAGAGACTCTGAGAGCGGCACCAGGGCAAAACACCCGCTACGCTTGTAGCTCATCACGCCACAGCTCTTCCCTGTTATTCCTCCTGCAGGTACAGGCAGCCTCGTCCCCAAGGCAGCGCGACAGGGGCGTCCCGAGAGCTTCTATTGAAGACCTCCAGGCAGAACCAGCTTGCAAAATAGACTCCTAAGGAAGAGCCTGATGAAAAGCAGGGCTTTAGGGAACAGCCTATTTCTCAGCCATCCCATCTCCACAAGGACCAAAGCAACACAGTGCTTCCTAACCTACAAGCCCTTTGCCTGTAATTCCCTGAATTCCCTTTACCGGCAAGCTCTGTCCACACGAACATCCCATTGCCCATGACACGTGTGGTAAAGAGAAATACCCCCAGAAAGGCAGCCCCAGGACGGCAGGGGATCAGCACGGACTCGGGCACTGCTCAGCTCACTGCACAAGAAAGGATTGAGAAACGGAGCAAGATTTATTGCGCCAAAACAAGGATAGGAGGAAGCAGCACTTCCTCCCAAAGAGGGGAGCGTGTCCTGCACATCCTCCGGCCGCCCACCAAGCGCAGGCTGCCCCTCAGCCGCAGAGCGCTGTTTGTCAGCAGGGACTGGGGGAACTTGCGAGGGCTGGAAGTCTCGGGAGGCACCGAGGCAGCTCCCCAGCGCCCGGGCACGGCCCTCCGTCCGTGCCCAAGAGCCGTGTGCCTGAACGCTACGTTCATTTGGAATACTGCTTCTCCCGCAGAGCGGTCCGCTTCCCAGCCTCCCTCGCTGTAACATCCTCAGCACCCTGGTGTCGCAGGCCGAATCGGCGCAACGTGGACTCAACGCACCGAGGCAGGGGTGCAACGTGGGGGCTGCCGACCTCTCCCCGAGGCGCCGCACCCAGGGGCGGCCCGGAGCTCGCTCAAAGCCCGTGACGAGCGGCGGAGCAGCAGCTGCTGCAGCACCTCGGCGTCACCGGGAGGACAGGGCAGAGCTCGGCGCCGCTGCACGACGGCCCCCCCGGCCCCGCCGCGCGCGCGGGCCCCCGCACGGAGGCGCCTGCGGGGCGGCGGCTCCCTCACCCCGCCGCGAGCGGCACCGCGGCGAGCCGCGCGGCGCGGCGGTACCTGGGCACGCAGCTGGGGC